AAGTAGTTGTTACACTGCCTCATTTAGGGAATAATGACAAGAGAAAAAGGTCTGTACATCTTCAGTACAGAGGTATACATATGCTATTTTTTTCTGAATATTTTTGATCTGTAGTTAGTTGACTCCATGGATGCAGAACCCACTGTTACAAAGGGAGACTGAATGTACCTTCAGGGATTTTTTTTTCTTTTTTTGAAACACAGTCTCCCCTGTTGCCCAGGCTGGAGTGCAGTGGCATTATCATGGCTCACTGCAACCTCAAATTCCTGGGCTAAAATGATCTGCCTTCCTTAGCCTAATGAGTAGTTAGGACTATAAGAGGGGGCCACTACACCTGGTTAATTTTTTTTATTTTCACAGAGACAAGATCTCACCATGTTACTCAGGCTGGTCTTGAACTCCTGGTCTCAAGTGATCCTCCCACCTCAGCCTTCCTAAGGCTGGGATTACAGGCTTTGCAAGGCTACAGGGCTTTTCCAATAGTCCCCTACTGAGGGACATTTATTCTATTTTGACTCTTAGCAGGCATGTTGCAGTGAAGATTCTGGATGTCTCTGCGCAGTACACACTGCCGCCACTAACTCAATGGCAACATCAGTTTTCAGGGTTACACAGACCTAGAATGATTCCTGGCTTGGCCACTGACAAGCCAGGGCCAGTCAGGTCACCCATCCTAAGCTCTGTGAGAATGAACAGTTGGAAGATGAATGAATGCCACCTTCTCGGGGCACTGGGCATGAGGTCGACATACAACAAATCGCTTCTCTTCCCCTTCTCTTGAGAACAATAGGGGTAGCTTATGGGTGAATTTTGCTTTATACATTGTTAAACCTGGGTTGTCCAGGGAACAAACATCGTGGGAAAAAGAATAAGGACAGTTGTTTCCCAGAAGTGCCACCCAGTACCTGGGCCTGGTGCTGCAGGTGAAAGGTCACAGCTGTGCTGACTGCCCCAGTGACATCCCATACCTCAGAAGAGATGATGGCTGATCCCACTTGGGTGCTTAGGAACCTGTGGGGAGAAAGAGTCACGTATGAATGGGGCATTTCTTCCAGGCACCCTCTGCGACCAGAAATGTCATGGAAAGTCCAATGCTGGGAATTAGGGCACCTGGTTCTAGTCTTGCCTCAGGGACCTGTTGGTAACCTGGGTAAGCTCGATTCCCTCCATTGGCCCCACCACTGAAGCCAGGACACCAGGCAGGAGTTGAGCCACGTTTCACCAGCCATAACTTTGGCAGGCCCAGGAGTGTGCATGTTGGGTGGGGCAGAGGGAGAGAGTGGATCCCGGACTACTATGGACAGAGCTACCCTCTGCAATGGCGGGTCTGGCCTTCCCTAGGGAGGGGACATAGGCCCACTCACCTCTGCACCTCACTCGCCTGGTCCAAGCTGTTAGAGGCCTGGGGCTGTAGGCCAGGCCCTCCCAGGGCATTCTGGAAGATACTTGAGGTGAACCAGCTGTGCACCATGGAGACTCCAGAAAAGCCTAGTTCAGTGGGAGGGGGAACCAAGACACCCCCTGGAGTCTGAGCAAGCACCACTAGTGGGCCCCACGCCTGGGAAACTGAGGCTCAGAGAGGCTAAACGGCTTCCCAAAGTTCACACAGCTCCTAAGTGCCAGTCAAAGTTCCAACCAGCCACAGTCCACATGCTTAACCTCACAGCTCCAAATCCCTTTGCCCCTTGCCCAAATCCTGCACTCCTACATGGCATGAAGGGTAAGGGTCTCTTCACCACCCACTCATGAGGGAAAATGTGGGGGGTTCAGCAGAGGAGATTATGTGAACATTGCTATGTGGAGGGTGCATTTAACCTCATAACCTCATAACATGGGGGCAGGTAGTGCTATGTCCATCTTAACAGATGAAAAACTGAGATACTGAAAGATGAGGTGACTCAAAGTTCCACAGCTAGCAACGATCAGAGGTTTGGCCTGGCCCTCAGCAGGGCCCTGGCCACCCTGTCATCCTCACCCACCTTTCCCAAGCAGTCGCCTCACTTCACCCGCAGGGATGTGAATGTGGCCGGGCCCCTCTGGATGCCCACCAGGCATTGTGAATACGTAGCCCCCCATGCTGGCCTCCTGCAGGCATAGGTTCTGCACCTTGAGGCCTGGGAGTAAACAGGTGTGGGCAGCTTGGCCTCAGGAGTGGCAGGGTCTGTGCCCCGCCCCCCCCCACCGCCCCTTGCCGCCACAGGTTTAGGAGCTCCCCGTTCTTGCTTAGAGAGGTTTAGCAACCTGCCCAGGGCAAATATGGCTTCTCCAAGTCCAAGGGGAGAGGGTCACTAAGAAGAAGGGTCCCTGGGAGGCAGAACTTCAGTATCAGTGAGCTGCTAGAAATCAGGGGGGACCTGAAGGGCACAGGTTTGTACCAGAAGTTCCACCATAGGTGTTCCGTGATCAATCTACAAACACTGAGTGAGTATTTGGGCCTTACCCTGGGACACAGAGACCACTGAGAAACAGCCCTGGCACTCAGGGAGTGTCATGTGGAGGGAGACAATCCCATTATGTAATAAGCACAAAAGCATTAACATGTATGTTCAAGACGTTGTGGTAACCCAGGAGGGAGAAACTGTCAGGAGAAAGCTAAAACTGGCTTTCTAGGGGGGTGATGTTCCCACAGAGTTCTGAAGAATGTATAGGAGTTTGTTAGGAGATCAAGAGAGAGGGCATTCTGGATGGAGGTCTGGGCATGGACAAAGGCAGGAAAGAGAATGTTGTCTTGTCTGTATCAGTGTTCCTAGTGCCCAGGGCTCAGGAGAGGAGTCTGAGCCAACATGTGAGGGTAGGTGGGTGGCAGGCTCACCAGCGTGGTGGTACTGCATGTGTATTTGGGGCCGCTCTGAGGTCAGCATGGTGCTCAGCAGGGGCGCCAGGCGCTGCACGATGGCCACCAGGGCCATAGGTCCGCCAACCACCTGAGAGGAAGCCGTGCGTCAGCTCCCTCTCACATTCCAACCTTGCTGCCACCTGCCCTGACCACTGGGATACTCATTCTCAATGATCTAAGAAGGGACCCTCACTGTTCTACAGCCTCCGTGGCTCCTCAGAGCCCCCAGCATTAAGTCATGGGTCCTGAGGCTGGCATGGGAAGCCCTGCCCGCCCAGCCTTATCACCCAAACACCCCATCTTCCAGCAAAATCAAAGGTCTTCAGGGCTCTGCTGGCTTGTCCACTGGCCAGAGCACACCCTGAAGGCTGGGCCATGCCTCCCTCTTCTTCACGGTAACTCGGTGCTAGACCTCAAATAGGTGTGCAACACTGAGATTCCAAAAGCAGAGCCACGGGAAGGAGTGAGAGTGAGGGAAGGAGGGGGAGAACGTGCATTCGCGGGACACCTACTCTGCTGGGCAAATCACTCACTTCATCCATAAACTCTTCTCCATTGCCTTAGCCAGGCCAGTGTGATAATCCCCATTCTCCAGGGAGGAAAACTGAGGTTCAGAGTGAAGCTACTCCCTGTCTACCACACTATCTCAGATCCCTCTAATCAACTGTGGATTTGCACACTTCCCAGGATGCAGAGCTTACTACCAGTCCAGATGAACCATTCTACAACAAGCTTCCTGTGTTGTGCCATCTCCATCCTACTCCATGCCCTGGTCCCAGTTCTATTCTCTGAAGCCACAGAGGGATCAGTAACTGCTCCTTCAGCCCCAGAGATTTGCAGGCAATGTCCATGACCTCTTGTTCCCTCCCATCTCTGGGCTGATCACTCCCAGGCCTACAGCCTAGAGTGAGGTTTCCAATAGCTCTTCCATCTGGATAGCACTCTCATGCTCTCTGAAAATCTGGGCTGTTTAGGCAAACAAGGTGGGAGGCCCTTATTGATGGGTGGCTCTTAATCATGCTGAACTGCAGAAGCTATTGTTCAAGCACAATTGTATGCAGACATTTAAGTCATAAAATAGATATAAGAAGAGCTTCTCTCAATGGATGGAGAGTTAGAGCCCAGAGCTGGGTGCTGACTCACCTACACAACAAGCTGGTGGCAAGGTTGGAACCAGAGCCCAGGCTTCTGCCCCACCCAGCCCTGCCGGCTTTACCTCACTGATGGACAGCCATGCGCCAGCCACCTGCTCCTCCAGGACCAGGCTGGCCACAGACATGACACCCTGGCCCAGCTGCTCCCAAGGCCCCATCAAGGGCTCTGGTTCCCCAGCCCCGAGGGCTGTCACCCTCTTCAGGAAGTGCATAACAGCCAGCAGTGCAGCTGGTCCCAGGGGAGCTGCCTCCTTCACCAGGACGCTCTCCAGGGTGCTCAGGAAGCTGGAGGCCTCAGCCAAGGACAGGACTCCGTGGGCTTCAGAGAGGGGATCTGGGAGGAGCTGTGGGCAGAGGAGCAGCTGACTGTTAGTCCGGCTGTAATGAGAGGATTCCCCCAGGGGCCACACCTGGGGTCACCTGGGGTCTTCTTGGAGAGCACTAATCAAACTTGTCACAAGCCCCCAGCTCCCACAGGCTCCAAAATGGGGACCACGAGCAACCTGAATTCCTGCAGACACATCAATTAGCTGTCCCATTAACAGGCGAGGGAACTAAGGTACAGGGAGGAGATCCCTATAGTGCCCCCAGAATCTCCAGCCCTCCTGGAGGGGCTCACCACAGTAGCATTGGCCAAGGCATTAACTTGGCTGATGACATCCTGGCCAGGCCATGACCGGGCATCCTGCAGGTGCCAATAGGTCTCTGCAAAGGAGTGAAAGCCAGGCTGAGCCCTGGGCAACACCCCTGCCCACCATGTGCTGCCCAGGGGAGGAGAAACACCTTCAGGCTGTGTCTAGAGCCTTACACACGGTGTTCTGGAGTGGAACACTAGGCACAGGATGGCAAAATTGTTTGCCCAAGCTCACAAGTTGAGATTCACCTTCAGGTCTGTCTGGCCCCACTGCCCTGTAGTCTAGAATCTGCGGAGGCCTGGAAGTTTCCAGAAGGTTCTGAATTTCTAGACTTTGCCATCTACTCACACCCCCACCCCGACCTCCAAGGTCAGCTGAGCACAGGAGCACAGCCAGGGCACACCTGTGCGGTAGCAGCAGAGGAAGGGCCGCGGCTGCAGGCAGAGCTCCGAGCCCCGGGTGTGAGGACCTGGGTTCCACGTGGGGCACTCCTCTGAGGGCACTAGCCGGGGTAGGAGAGGTGTCAGGCCAGCTTCCTGGCTCCCCAGCGATCTTGTGACACACTCCCTCCCCTAACCCGCGGGGGAGACTTGAGATCTGTAAGGTGGGTGCTGCAGCGGGTACAGGGCCGGGCAAGGCGGCCTGGGGGGTAGCTCAGACACTCAGGCTGCTGGACCTGCGCTGCCCTTGGCTCAGGCATTGCAGCCTGGGGAGGGCGTGGCCAGAGTTGGAGGTGGGGGTTGGCAGCCGGTGGGCTGGGCCTCCCGTCGGTCAAAAGGGAAGGGTCGGAGTCGGGTGCTGGTCATACCGGGACAGAGGAGGCGCACCCGCACGGTGGGCAGCATCGAGGGCGTGACGTCCAGGGCGCCCGGGTCCCAGCTGAAGAGCAGGCCGTCGCGAGGCGGCGCGCAGGCTCGTGCTTGCTGCAGCTGCGCTGGGCTCAGCGTCCGAGCCCACAGGTGGAAGTCGGTGAGGTTCCCGCTGAAGGCGTCACGCGCGGAGAAGCCGCCGCCAAGGGAGTCCTGATCCTGGCCCAACACCAGGATGCCGCCGGGGGGCAGCGAGTGGCCGGCGCCCAGTCCTTGCGCCCCAGCTCGCTGCCGCCCGTCTGCGAACAACGCCCAGCGTCCTCCACGCTGCTCCCAAGTGGCGCACACGTGGTGCCAGCGGCCGTCGGCGCGGAAGGCGTCGAGGAAGGGCCCGTGGTGCCCGCGGACTACCAGCGCAGCGCGCACCACGCCGCCTCGCCCAGCGAAGGCGCGCAGCTGCAGCGCATTGGCCTGCGCGGGCACAGCGACAGAGAAGAGCGTGGCAGTGTTGGACGAGGCGGTGTCCCACTGCACGTGCGCGCAGGCAGTCAGCGCCCTCAGCGTGGGCAGGGGTGTCCGCAGCCGTGCCGCCCTGTCTGCAGTCCTTTCGCGGAACACCAGCATGGCCGTGGTATGCGTGACTGCAGGGACACGCGGGCCAAGTCCTCAGTTTCCCCAGCTGCGTCCACAGTCCTGCCTCTGACTGTGCTTTGGTACAGCTACGGGGCCCCTCCCGGGCTTTGAGGTGCATTCCCACCTCGGGAAGGAGTAAATGTGGGCTGAAGTTCCCCCAGGAGTCAACCCCCTAGTTCTAGTCCACGGCAAGGGACCCTGCAGATGGGATGGGTTTTATTCCGGGCTCACTCTCAAGAATTGTCACTGTGAGTTCCCATTTCTGAAGACACCAGACCCTCTGCACCTCCCCTGTTCCCAGGCCCCCACTTACGCCTCTGTGGGGGTCTCTGCGGAGGAACCTCTCTTTGGCCCACCCAGACCGGGTCGCGTAGCCTTGCAGCAAGAACCCCATCGGGAGGCTGCCGTGCTAGGTGGCCAAACTGCTGCTCACAGGACTCTTGGGCCTGCCACCAGCTCAGCCACTGTCCGGGGAACTTGCACACCCCACCTGCAGTCTCCACCATCTCACCAGGGGCCACCGGGGCTGGAGGGCGTTAGGAGACACAGTGTGGGAGGCATTTTTTGGGTATCTGACCCTTCTATGGGTGGTCAGAGCCAAGGACACTGGGCCTGGAGTCACTGGTCAGCTAAACCCTGAC